AGGGATCTGGGCAAATTGACAAGTATTCATGAAGCTTCCCCATGTGCCACGCACCTTGCTAACGGCTGGAGATAGGAAGAATGGCAAAAACCAGTCCCTGCTCTCAAGGAAGTCAAAGTCTAAACAGAGTAGACAAAGTACAAACAACTCTGTATAAACAAGATGTGTTCAGGATAATCTGGAGATAATCAGAACAGTGGCATGAAAACAGGAGCCCCATTGCCGACAGCTCATCTGAAAGCCTTTTAACCAAAACTGAGCTTTGATCTAGGTGAGAGGAATTGGTCTTTCCTGCATCTAAGACAGATCTTTAAAGAGCTCATGTACAGGGGAAGAGATAATCACAGCCATGACTCATTTTTCCATTGGAGGGAAAAAAACTGTCCTGCAATCGGGAGTGGAATTTTCTATCATTTTCCCCTGACCCTAGATATTTCCCAATGCAGGGAGCTTACGACTAGTCACGCTTCAGTGATGTGTGACCAGGGAGTAGCTGATGGATTTCAGGTCCCTGAGAAATACATCTGACCTCTGTTTAACTGCAGGATCCTGGTACTGGGAAATACATCTGCAGAGCCGATATGAGCAGCAAAAAGGCAGTGTTGAGGAAGGGCAAAGGGGACAGAGACACATTCAAGAGCAAAGGGTTCAGTATTAAACTGAGTGGCCGAGGAGACATTACACTGAGCCAGACATCCCCCCAGAATTCACTTCACAAAACCTTATCTATGGAAAAGACCTTGAAGCACACACTACATGCATGGGATGAAGGCATACATGAAGGGATTCGCATGCTGAGCCCTACTGTGTGTCAGAGAGCCTGGAGCCCCTGGGGGTGTTCTTTGGGCAACCAGTCAACAAGCATTTATGAAGTACCTACTATGTTCCAGGCACTGTGCTAAGTACTATGATGCAAATACAAAGAAAGGACTGCCCTCCCAGGAAGGGAAGTAGGGTTTCAGAAGGCTTCCATAGGGGACTGGTATGTTTGGGGTCCAAGCCTGGGTTCCACAGTTGTCAGAGGAAGGAGCTGAAGTTTTTGGTAATGGGAGACAAGTGGGGGACCTGGCCCCTCTTGGTGTATGTCTGGGTGAAATGTGGGCAGGGCAGTGGGTTGGGAGAGCAGGATCTGGAATGAAAATCATTTACCACAATGTGCCACCCATTGTTCCTGAGCTCCCAGGAAAAGAACCAAGCTCAGTGTCCTGCTAGATGGCTCATGTCAACTGCCTGGGAGTGTTCACTTTCAATTTCTTTGGCCCTTCTGCCCTCTTTGCCCTATTAACTTAGCTCACAAGCCTCTTTGCATCTTTTAGAAACAGGCAGAGTCTCTCCTTCAGTTTATATCATTGAACCTATGGTCTCCCCAGAGTGGGAACACCTCTCCATTGGTGTTTATTGTAGCCCCTTTGGGCATTTTTATCCTGCGAGAGCCCCTCAGTGCCTTTCCAAACACCCTCAGTAGAACACTTGAGCCCTAGGCTGACAGCCCGCTCTGCCACTGACTAACTGTGTGCCTTGGGTCAGATCACTGTCCTCTCTGAAAGTCAGCTTCCTTGTGTCTGAGATGAGGTGGTCTCACCAAAGCCTACGACATTCAGACATCTCAGAAATGCCATGCTGCTCAACATCTTGGAAACCTTCCTATAATGTTTCATGAACACCATTCTAGCATGCAGACCTTCCATCCATTCATCCATCCATCCATCCATCCATCCTCTGCTGTCCTTGCTGCCTGACTGGTACATCTCCCTTTCTAGGAATGCAAGAATAGAATCAGAAGAGCGTAAACCACAGCTTAGCTACATAGTCTGAGATCCCTCATTTCACAGATAAAACAGAGCCACAGGGAAGCTAATCGATTTGCTCGGGTTGTATAACCATGCCAATCCTGAGGAAGAATTTGAATTCAGGTCTTCCTGGATGATTTATTTTACTCATATATCCTTTAACAAAAGAATCTGAATCTCAAAGTTTGGAGGTCAGAGAGAGGGGTAGTGAATCCTGGGCTCCTAGAAGAGTGGCTCATAGCTTTTTCTTTTCTCTTTCCCCTTTCATTTTTTGAAGGGGATTATGGCAGCTGAATTTTTTTGTGTTTACTGTTTTTCCTTGTAGCATTCTGTGATTCCAGGAGGACAAAAGCTGGGATAGAGCAGGGTCATGAAATCTAAGGTTAAAATGGATCAACAGGAATTTTACAAGTGAATCAGGTAGAATCCTAGGAATTTTTGGCCAAACTTATTGGCCATAGTAGACAGGGCCTAAAAAGGTCATTTTTTTTTCCGTTGGACCAAGAGAGGCAGAGTATCCGAGAGTAGGGAGGTGACAGCCCTGCCTTAGTGAGACCATACCTGGAGTATCGTGTTCAACTCAGGTTATATCACTGAGGAAGTTAGATGGCATAGGGGATAAAAGGCTAGATATCGAGTCAGGAGGACCTGAGTTCAAATCCTGCCTCAGAAACTTACTAGCTCTGTGACCCTGGGCAAGTTACTTAAATGCCACCTGCCTCAGTTTCCCTGCTTGTAAAATGAGGGGGGCTAAACTCGACGGCATGCGAGGTCTGCTCCAAATCTGAGTCTACGATCCTCAGATAAAGTAAAGAACATCCAGAGGAAGCGGCCACAGCAGTGAAGTTTCTCCAGATTCTGCCAGATGAGGATACTTTGAAAGATTCGAGCATGTTCAGTAGGGGGAGGGAGAGGGGAGAGGGAAGGTGTTGCATCACCACTGATTCTAACTGTCAATTTGAATTATTTCTGGAAGGAGGATGTTTACCCCAGATGACAGAACTAGGAATAGATGTAGCAAAGAGACAAATTTAGGCTGGAATAAGGGAAAAAAAAAACAGTCTTCCTAACAATTAGTTATCCTACCGGGTGATGGGATGCTTGGTGGATAGAGGGGTCTTCATCACTGAAGATCTGCACACAGAGGCTGACGACTACCTGGGAGGTGTCTTATAGGGGACAGTATTGTTCAAGTGTGGATTGGATTCAATGGCCTCCCAAACATTTCCAACTCCAAGATTCTGGGAACTGGAAAAGATGTTTAAATGTCTTATGTTATCTTCCTGTGTTCCCCATGGGGGCAGGAATGACCCATGTCTTATCTAAACCTTGTGTTTCCCCCAGAGTCTGGTAGACAGCTGTGAGGGAGTGGAAAGAAGCCCAGAGTTAGAGTCAATGGATCAGACTCTGAATGCCGCTCTGCTGCCATGTTAGAATGTGTCCCCTGGGCCAAGGCACTTCCCTTGGGTGGATCTCGGTGCCCCAACTGGAAAATGAAGGGGTTAGATGAATTCCCATACATATATCCAATGAAAACTCATGGAGGAAAGAGAAAACATGTGTCACTTTCTCTTTATAACATTATCAATCTGTCAAGTGGTATTTATTAAGCACCCGCTGTGTGCCAGGCACTGTATTAAATGTCAGGGACACAAAGAAAGGAAAAAGATGGCCCTTTCTCTCAAGGAGCTCATGGTATAATGGACTAGATGTCCCACAAACGATGTTGTTCCAACTGGATCTATTGAAGATAAATGGAAAATAACCAGCAGAGGGAGGCGTGAAGATGAAAGGGGCTTGGGAAAGACGAGACTTTAGCTGAGCCCTGGAGGAAGTGAGGAATGCCAGGAGGTGAGAGGAAGAGGGTGAGTATTCCAGGCCTCGGAGGCAGCGGGAGATGAGAGACTGCGAAGAGCAGCAGAGAGGTCAGGATTACTGGATCCCAAGAACCACAAGCAAATATAAACCAGAATGCTTTGTCATTGTCTTGACACTCAACTACTTCTAAAACTTACAAATCAGCATGGAGATTCTCTCGTGGAGAGATCAGAGCAGAACAAGTATTAGTTGCCTAACTTGGAAGAAGTCTGTCACCTAACTCCCTGAATTTATCACCATGGTTCTAAAACTTTCTGGCCCTGGAGATCCAGAGGACTGTGAGTCAGATGACGGTTAGCTGGTCACTCTTGTTTCCAAGGTTCTAATTCATTGGTTCAGAGGTTGTTAGCTATACCAGATGCCTCTAGAGATCATCTGAGTCAACTAGATGGTACGGTGGATAGAGCTCCGGGCCTAGAGTCAGGAAGACCTGAGTTTAAATCCGGTCTCAGACACTAGCTGTGTGACCCTGGGCAAGTCACTTCTCCCTGTTTGCCTCAGTTTCCTCAACTGCAAAATGAGCTGAGCCTATATCAGACTGTGTGACGTGTTGGGGTGCAGGGAGGAGAGGAAGGGGGAGAAAATTTTGAACACAAAATCTTATGGAAATCAATGTTGAAAACTAAAAACTAATATTAAAATAAAATAAAATGATCTGGAAAAGGAAATGGCAAACTACTTCAGTATCTCTACCAAGAAAACCCCAAATGGGGTCATGGAGAGTCAAACCTGACTGAAACCACTCAACAGCCTTAGTGCACAGAGCACTGGGCCTGAAGTCAGGAAGATCTGAGTTCAGATCCAGCCTCAGACACTTACTAGCTAGGTGACCCTGGGCAAGTCACTTGGCCTCTGTTTGCCTTAGTTTCCTCATCTGTAAAATGGGGAGCACAGTGGCACCTACCTCTCAGGGATTTTGTGAGAATCAATTGAGATAATTGTAAGGAGCTTAGCACAGTACCTGGCACATAGTAAGAGCTATATAAATGTTAACTATCATTATCACCATCATTGTTATCATTATCATTGTTATGTCTATATTCCTTATTCTACATCGAAGAAATGAGAACAGAGGTCAAGCGTTTTGCCCACTTACGGCCACACAGCAGTCAACTCTGTGCTCCAACTCATCCCAATTCTCAGGCAATGTTCTGGCTGCTGCCCCATACCAACCCTTGTCCAAGTTTTTCATTGTAGCTGCTTTTTTCCCAGTGTCTCTGATACTGGTGGCTTTGGGCAGTTTCACCTCAGACCAGGGAATTGGCTTTCCACGTGTTTTTGGTAAAAATGTATGTGTGTTTCATAAAACATGTCTGTATTTTTCATCCACAGAATGGTTTTACACCCCTTCATATCGCCTGTAAGAAGAACCGAATTAAAGTCATGGAGCTTCTCCTGAAACATGGTGCATCCATCCAAGCTGTGACTGAGGTAAGAAGAGCAGGCTTTTGATTTTCGACATAGTTAGGACGTCATCCTAAGGAAGCCAAGATTGGAGCTCTGGGCCTTCCTAGTGCTAATTGGCTTTGCCCTGTGCCAAGTTATAGACCACGCATGCAGTTGGTCATAAGGTGGATGGCTCCATGTGAATGCATCAATGCCAACAGAAAGCCAGGTAAAAGGGCACACCCCTCTGATGGCGTATCAATAAGATCCTCCATCCAGACACCAAGGGACTGATTTAGAGTATTCATTTTATTAAATCATCACTAGTATCTTGTGAAATGAAGATTACTTCTCTTAATATAATACAGAACTACTTAAGTTTTAACCTCATCTAGTACAACCTGTAAAAGGGACCTAATTAGTTATTTTTAAATCTTATTTTTATTGATATCTTTCATTTTTATATCATTCTTATTTCTGAATGTTCCACCCCACCTCCTTTACCCAGACATCCCTTATACTGAGGAATTTTTAAAGGAGAGGAAAAAAACCAACTCAATTAATATTTCTTTCATGCAGAATTCTGCCTTATTCTGAAGAGGGTTATAAGTGAGACTCCAGTGTAGAAACTCTGCAGGGTTAAAAAAAAAAAAAAAAGGATGATTGATAAATACCTATAACATTAATCAATCCAAAAAAATCACGTATTAAATGTTCATGTATGAGATAGGCACTAAATCCAAAGGCAATACTAAATAGCATCTGCCCTATAGAGGCGTCCATTCTAACAGAAGTGACGTTGATAAATAGATATGTATTTTAAAATACACAAAGTAAATGCAGGCAATTTTAAGATGCCAGAAACTAGGGGCTCAGGAAGGACTCAGAGGAGGAGATGCCCTGACACTGAGCCCTGCGGGCAACCAAGGATTCTAACGGGGGAGAGGAGAAGGGAGAGCCCTCCAGGCAGAGGGACAGCCTGGCAAAGGCTCTTTAAGGTTGGGTCTTAAACCAGTCGTGGGACATGGCATTGGAGTGGAACCAAACAGTGGACAGGGAATCAGGGAGATGTCGGTTCAAATCCTGACCATAACATTGGCCCATAGGGTGAATGTGGCCATGTCACATAAACTTTGGGACCTCAGCTGGTTCATCCAAAAAATGTGGATGATAATATTTGTGCTATCAGAGGATGGTGGTAAGGGAAAGACTTGGTAAACATAAAATCTTTAGAAAGGGAGCCTTATGTCATTGCTGTCATTTTTTTGTTACTGTTAGGAGCTATCTTGTTCAGAGAATCCCAGTACCTCCTGAGGGATAAGAACTGGGTTTTGAGTCAGCCACATATAACCGATGCCATTTCCCTGGCCATCCTCACTCCTCAACTCTTGTGGTGACTTGACCAATTTTTCTTTAAATGTAAAATCCTTGTCTTGATCTATACAACTGGTAACCCACCATTTTCCCCCTTGATATCCCTTAGTCGGGCCTTACCCCAATCCACGTGGCTGCTTTTATGGGGCATGCAAATATCGTATCTCAGCTCATGCATCACGGAGCATCACCAAACACCACCAACGTGGTGAGTACCTTTTATAACAAAGAGGGCAAGGGAAAAACAAGCATTTATTAAGAACTCTTACATTAAAGGACATCTTGAATGGAGGCATAATTCACCTATCATAAAATAATTTTATTTTCCACAAGAGTGGGTGCTTTGTCAGTAACACATGGTACTTGAAAGATACTGACCCAAAGAGTAGCCAGCTTGCCATGCCTTAGCAAATAGTATGTGTATTTTGGCCTTTGGAATAATTCCAAGTTCAAGAGTTACTCAGTTTGACATCCTAGTGACAGCAAAGATAGGCAGAACAATATGGAGGAAAGGAATTAACTTTGTGCATGCACTGAATACATGCTTCATTGATCAGAATTTCAGGAAGCTCTCCAGGGACTTAGGATAACAACCCCTCCTTCATGACTGTATTTGAGTAAGTGATAGCTTGCCATATGTCTAGTGCTTCCAGAAACTAAGCCCTTTGTGGGGGAGGAGAGAGGGAGATCCTGGTCAAACCAAGGTCATACCAATGCCCACTCTACCCCAGGCCATAAAACACTGAGGGTCCAAAGGGATTCTTTACCTCCACCTGCATAAAGTGAATACAAGAAGCATCTTGATAATCTGATGGCACCTTGATCCCATCAGTGTGAATGAATAGTCCCTCCATGGTGCAAATCATAGCCCATCTCTGTCTTCTCACCTTATATCATTCTTGCCCATGTATTTCCTCCATTCAAGGTCTACTCAACAGGCGTCTCTAACTTCTTTTCCTATTTTGCTGATACCAAGGCAGGGCTCAAGGCTATCCATTTAACCTCATTCTTGCCATTATTGGGCACATTCTTGACCAACTTGCCTCCTTTTTGAGACATGTGTCCCTGATGGTGATTAGCCCTAATGTATCTCTTTGCCCATAGTAGGAGCATAATAAATGTCAATTGAATGAATGTCTTTGACTCCACTTCTCATACACAGGTTATTGTTGGCTATATGTAGCCTACTCACAGTATCAGTCAGGGTCATGGTTTTCCTTGATTCGTAGCCATGGAGCATCTCTGGGAGAATGTCAGTAATTTTTTTTAAAAAGGCTAAGATGCCAGCAAATCATTCAAAGATATTGGGCCAAATGAGGGGCCCCTGACTGTTTCCCAGCTCCATTTTTTAAGTACTGATCATCTTCTCTTGCTGTTGTGAACTAGAGAGGAGAGACAGCTCTGCACATGGCAGCCCGTGCCGGCCAATCAGAAGTCGTGCGGTATCTGGTCCAAAATGGAGCCCAGGTAGAAGCTAAAGCAAAGGTGAGTGTATCCAAAATGCTGTTGGGTAAAATCCAGTCCAACTCAACAGAATTAAGAACTCACTGGGTACAGGGAATACAAGGAGAAAACAGAAAAAATCCCTGCCCTCAAAAAGCTTATGTTTTATTCAAGAGATACAACATATAAACAGATAAGTACATACATGATTATTATTTGAGGACTGATAGAGAACTACAATTTGGGCAATCAAGGTCTTCCTGTAGAAGGTGGCACATGAGCTGGACCCTAAAGGAAAACCCCTTATAGCTATATAATGGTCCTGGAATGAGAGACAGACAGACAGACAGAGAGAGACAGAGAGAGAGAAAAAAGAGAGAAGAAGAAGAAGAGAGGAGAGACAGAGAGACAAAGGCAGAGATAAAAAAGAGGAGAGAGACACTGACAGAGAGGGTGAGAGTGAGAGAGACAGAGACAGAGAGAGGAGAGAGACACAGAAAGAAAGATAGAGAAAGGGGCCCAGGGAATCGAAGTGATTTTCCCAAGGTTGTCTTACTAGTTATATGAGAGTTGGGACTGGAAACCATGTTTTCTACTTATATTACATACCTAAGTTTATAACTCCAAATTCAAGAGTCTTTCCATTGTATCACTAAAAAGTAATTAGGTAGACCATATACATAATGAGTGATAGAAATGGTTGGCACATCACCCAACTCCATGACTCAGAGCTCATTCAGGAACTAAGAAATGTTAGTTAGAAAGCCAAGAGCCCAGGGAAGAATGATAATTCTGAAGCAATGATGAGATTTGTAATTAATTCTAGAAATAAAATACTCAAAGGATTCAGAGATTAGAAATAGGAGTCTGGATGAGGCTTTCACCTCAGGGACCTTAAGTCATCTGTAGTAGATTTAAAAAGTCAAGACCACAAGCATTTTTAAGCCCCTACTATGTGCCAGTCACTCTGCTAAGTGTGGGATTATGTCAACTCACCTCTTATTCCCCGGGGAAAATCTCACATCCTCCAAGGTTTCTGGAGTCCTTGAGGAGAGACGTTCCATATTTTGAATAATAACTACTTCTGCCTTTGGAGTAGGTAGTGACAGGCTATGAGAAGAGATGAAAGGTAAGGAGACAATATGGTGGCCTCAACAATCGTTGCTGGCCACCAGGAGAGAGCACTGGCTGTCTAGTAGAATAAATAGTCTGCTTTCTGGGAGAACAAAGTCTGCGAATATTGTGAAGGAGACGGAAATTCAAGTAGTGACTTTGAAGAACAATTATTGGAGGGTAGGAAGAAAGGAAAACAGCCCTGCAAAGTGTGAGACCGGCACCATTCAGTGAGATGAAATGAGAGAACCATTGAAAGGAAGCACGTAATGTTGAGACTTTGATAAGTGATGGTTGGAGAGGGATGGGGCCTTTTTCACTCTCTGCAAAGGGAGCTCCATGGCCTTCTGTTCCGATCCATACCGAAATAAGAATTCCTCTTGCAACATCCAGCCCTTGCTTGAAGACTTCCAGGGAGGAGGAACCCAGTTCCTCACAGGATAGCCTGTTCCACTTTGGAATAGTTCTAATTATTAGGAAGTTTTCCCTGACGTTGGCTTTCAGTAACTTACCTGTGACTCCTACTTCTGTTCTCTGAGGCCAACTACCAAGCCTAATACCTCTTCCACTTGACAGCCCTTCAGATTCTGAAGGCAGCTATCATGCCTTCCTGAGACTTTCCTTCTCTAGCCTGAATATCCCCAGTTCCTCATGAGGCTTGGACTTTAGGCGTTTCTCTGTCCTGAACATCCTCTTCTGGAAGTGCCCCTCCTTGTCAATGTCCTTCTTAGAATGCATCACCCGGAGCTGGACACAGTATGGTCTGGTCAGGAGCAAAATACAATCTCCCAAAACCTCCACCTCAGTTCATGTGGCTTATCATGCATTCAAATCCTGCCTGCGTGACCTTGAGAAAGTCACAGCCTCTCTCAACCTCAAGTTTCCTTTTCTGTAAGAAGGGGATAATAGCCCCTACCTCACAGGTTTGTTGTGAGAGCCAAGCAAGATAACACATGGAAAATGCTTCACAAACCTCAAAGCTCTACATAAAGGCTAGCTGTCATCATCACCATTATTATCCTGTCCCTTTCGGACAAGACACACCTTTCCAAAGCTATATTTCAGTCGTGGGTCACATCACACCAAGTTTCCGTGATACCTATGAGGTCAAATGTTCTTCTTTATCTCAGGATATACGGAGAGGTCAGAGTTCTAGTGAAAACTGAGTTTGTGATTACAAGGACTTCGGAGGTAGCTTCAGCTACCTTTAGATTTGGTCTGAAATTCTGCCCCATCACCCTAAGCGTACTATGCTAGATGAAGATGTCACAATGGGCATTTCCTTTGCTAGGGGTGCAAGTCCCCAGATATAGGGTTATAAGTACTTCAAAGTGAGTCCTGGTCACTTTGTGGTCATTTCATTCCCGTCAGGATATAGCTATAGCCAAACTCAAATTGCCATGAGGGGAAGCTCATTAGTAATTAATACTCATGAGTTTGGCCAATGAAGAGCTATCTGGGGTTAGAAAGTAGCACTGATAGCACTTTTTCTGGAAGGACCTAGATGAAGACTTTGAGGCCCACCTACCAAGTCGTCCTAGGCCTGATATTTTGAAGGTCTGGAGTGATATCGCTGTGTGAACAGATAATCACATGGGCTCCCAAAACATGCCTTAGAATGATGGATCATAGTTTTGTATGTTGTTGGTAAGTCCTTTTTCAGTCATGTCTGACTCTTCATGAATCAATTTGGGGTTTTCTTGGAAAAGATACTGGAAGGGTCTGCCATTTCCTTCTCCAACTCATTTTGCAGATGAGGAAACTGAAACAAATAGGATTAAGTGGCTTGCGTTTGTCGCACAGCCAGTAAATGTCTGAGCCCTGGTAGAACTCAATCCCACCTAACTCTAAGGCCAGAAGTCTATCCACTGCACCACCTAGCTGCCTTCATAGCCTCAGAATATGTTTCATATCAGAAATATACTTCAAATTATCTCTGAAAGACCAACTCATCACAGATTTGGCTCTCACCCGTATACTGATCCCTTGATGGGCATATCATCAAATAATTCAATAAGAAACCAGGAACCTTTGAATGGAAAAACTCATGCTCTCCCCAAGTCGATTTGCTGTGGGTTAGCACACCAAGAAAGAGACAATAGAAAATACAGATAATGCAGGAGCCCTGCTTCTATACCCCAAAGGCTCTGCTGGGTCTCATTGTGACTCTGTGAAAATGCCTGCCTATCACACAGCACAGAAATGGGCATGTTAAATCTGCCCATGTAGGTAACAGTCTTTCATCCTCCCTAAATATTCTATCACATAATACCTACAAGGATGGTAGGATGCAGCCTGGGCAACTGGCTTCCACAGTGCTTACATACTCTTTAAGCTATTAGACCATTTCCAGTGTTTCCAATAACCCTATTATCATCTTGGCTACCATTTCTGAACCCTGACGATGAAGATAAGTGGGCTACTCCCTATAAGTATGCCACAGGACCGGATCTGACTCCAAAATAACAGTCCTCCACACTTTTCAAAATGGCGCCCTGGCCTTCACTAACTCACTTTTGCTTTGCCGTTCAGGATGACCAGACTCCGCTCCACATTTCGGCTCGACTGGGAAAGGCAGACATAGTCCAGCAGCTTTTGCAACAAGGAGCCTCTCCAAATGCAGCTACCACTTCCGGGTACACTCCTTTACACCTTTCAGCACGAGAGGGACATGAGGACGTGGCCTCAGTTCTTTTGGACAATGGTGCATCGTTAGCTATAACGACAAAGGTACGGGAGTCTTAGAAAAGTGATGGTATTCCCCAGATATATCCACCTTTACTGCAATCGGGGCATTGAACACCACGGAAACAACTGTATGACATGTTTCAAACTTGAGAAGTCGCTACAACCCTAATTGTAGTGAGCAGAGGCCTGTTTATTTTCATCTCGTATGTCTCTCTATGTTATCTTGTGATTAAAACTTGTTGAATCTCTCTACAAAGTCACAGCTCAGTTGCACCGATGGCTATCTCTCGGTTGTTTTGATTGACTCAGACAGTTTGCAAAAGATTCAGTCAGCAGATTTCTCTGGCAGAGTGCAAAGGGATGAACAGATTGGCTGACATGGCCAGAATGCAGAAGGCTGAGGATGGTGCTCACCAGCTAACCTCTCCCTGCTTCTCCAGTGCTGTGTCAGCTCAGGAAGTGGACACTCCACCTCCCCCCAAGGCTGGGAATAAAACAAATGACCAACCGTAATAGGGCTTCAGTCCCAGCTTTGAGACCAAACCACATACCTTCTCTACGTCCAAGAATTGTTGTTCACTTGCACTCTTAGCCAAACTCCCAGACGCAACCGCAGATGAATTGGTCAGAGATATGCTTAGAAGATAAGAACTCATTGCTATTTTATATTTGTTTATTTGGACATGTCATTATTTTATGATAAAAGTAGTAAGAGTCCAGTCAGGGAAATAGAAAATTGTGGTATAATGGGTTGAAAGCAACTAGGACCTACTTCCTTTTACTCTGGTTCTTTCGGGAACAATGACCGGATGTGAGGCAGCTTTTCTAGATTCTCATTTACCTGGGATTCAACATGGAAGAGAAGATAGTGATATTTTCAGCATGACAGCCCAGTTTTGGCCTTGCCCCAAGAATATGGCCTCAGGGACTTGCTTGAGTTTGCTGTGGGTCATAATCTGACAAGGAGAGTGAGGCCAATCAGGGCTTGTCCAGATCAGCTTCTGGACCCACCTTTGGTCCTTTGGGGCACGTGGAGTCACTTAGTACCAAGATGGTCCAGGATTATTTGAGGTGTCAGAAACAAGGGAGAACATTCACTTACTTGAATCATCTGACTCCCCCCTTATTGAATCCTAAATAGCCCAAAGCCATGCTCCACCCCCCAGGATAGCGCTGGATGCCCAGGCAGTCACATGTAGGTCCCTCTGACATATAGGCCCTTGTATTTGGGTCAGCTCTAGTGCAACTGACATAAGAAAACAGAGTGAGGCAGGTGTATTGTGGCAGTAAGGGGAAGAAGTGTATGAGCTGGTGAGGGAAAGTTTCAACAAGATCTGAGTTCAGATCTGGCCTCAGACACTTACTAGCTGTGTGACCCTGGAAAAGCCACTTGACCTCTATCTGTCCCAGCATCCTCGTCTGTACCAGGGGGATGATAACAGCATCTGCTTCCCAGGGTGGCTGTGCAGATACAATGGGCTATTTGTAAAGCATTTCGCAGCCTCCAACCACTCACTGTATAGATGCTAGCTAGCTTTTGGGAGTGGCATCGGTTTGGTATGGGACATGCCACAAAAACCTTGAATCCTCTAAGTCAACCCAAAACTCAGTTCAGCAAACATTGACTAGCATTCTGCTCCGTGTTAGAGGAGATAGATGAGACACGGTCCGTATCCTCATGGAACTTAATGTGCTGTGGGCGGTTAAGAGGCTGGTTCATGATCGTAAGAGTGAAGGTTAGGGCTAGAAGGAGCCTTAGGGGTCATCTACCAACTTCCTCATTTTACAGATGAGGAAACTGAGGCCCAAAGAAGTATGATGACACAAAAAACTGTGACATAAAATAATATATAAGTAAGTACACGTTATGGGACCAGAGCTGCAGTTTTGTTGGTGGAATGCTTGAAAACCCAGTATGACATAATGAATAAAGAGCTGGCCTCAGCATCAAGAAGACCTGAGTTCAAGTCTCACCTCTGACCCTACTGGCTGTGTGACCCTGGGCAGGTCACAGCTTCTCAGTGCCCAGGCAGCTCTCTAAGTCACTAATCAGATGAGTGGTGATCTGAACGTGTAGAGGGATTTTCCTCCCTGGGACCACCCAATGAAATCACAGGTCCAAGTCAAAAAAAAAAAAAAATAGAGATGTATAAACACACACACACACACACACACACACACACACACACAGGATCATAGGGCACCTCAGGCTCTATTTCCAACCCAGACTTCTCTTGCAAAAGTCCAGACCCTCATCACCAAAGATCTATGAGAGTTTGCTTTAGTTTCCTGATTCCTCCAAACCTCCTTGTCAGGTGCCCAGACCTGGATGATTCAGAGGCCCTGGCCTCTTAGTTTTACCTGTGAGGTGACCGAATGACCGGGATTTGTTTGGCCACCAGCCCCACTCCTCTAGGCAGACCTCCTCCTTAGGAACAGCCTTGACTGTTGCAATGGCTTACCAGTTTCCAGGCAATAGCCCGGCGATGTTCTTCATTCTCACACTTTCTTTTTACAGAAAGGGTTCACCCCTCTTCATGTGGCTGCAAAATACGGGAAGCTGGAAGTAGCCAAACTCTTGCTTCAGAAAAATGCATCTCCAGATGCCGCAGGAAAGGTAGGAGGGGAGAGGCCAGCTCTGCCACTGGCCCCTGATGCTAATAAAAAAAAAAAAAAAGCAAATAAGCACGTACTAATATTCACGCCCACCATTATCAATGCTACTGTCATTTAGCACGAAACCAGTTTTTAGGATCAAGAGCTCCCCAGGACAGAAGCTTGTGATTGCTCAACTCTTGTGGGAACTGTCTTTTTAAATTCACAATTCCCCAGTTTAATGCCATTGCCTGAAGCCAGGACTTGGATACTCCGAGACACACCTCTAACCTAGGCCATTGTTGTTTCTGCACATGTTTTCAGAGTGGTTTAACCCCACTGCATGTAGCTGCTCACTATGATAACCAGAAAGTGGCCCTGCTTCTCCTGGACCAAGGAGCCTCGCCCCACGCCGCAGCAAAGGTACACACTAAATCCAGGGGGCGGGAAGATGGCTCAGCCTCTTTGTCTCTAGCTGGCTTTCAACTCCCACTGCCTTCTTCCCTCTTGCCTGATGTGCAGGGATGGCTTTGTCCCAATAGAAATGTAAAGTACTCAAAATCTGGGCCATCTTACTATTTAGGCAGGTTCTTAGAAAAATAATGGGTACTTAACAAACCAGATACGGTATAGTCCACAAAGAACAGGCTTCTAAATCTGAAAGGCCTGGGTTCAAACCCTATTTTTAACCATACTAGCTGTAGGACCCTGGGCAGCCCCCCCAGGTGACTTTCTAGGACTCTTGCCAATTTCCATTGAAGGTGTTTATTGTTTTTATTTTGTTTTTGTTTTTGTTTTTTGGCTAGGCAATGGGGTTAAGTGACTTGCCCAGAGTCACACAGCTAGTAAGTGTTATATATCTGAGGCCAGATTTGAACTCAGGTCCTCCTGACTCCAGGGCCAGTGCTCTATCCACTGCACCACCTAGCTGCCCCCATTGAAGGAGTTTATTAAGCATCTGCTAGATGTGAGAGGCAGCCATAGAGAGTTGGCTTCTAAGTCAGCAAAACCTGGGCTCAAGTTTCCCTCTGACACGTCTTAGCTCTGGCACCATAGAGAAGTCCTTCAGCCTTCTAGACCGCCCCCCCCCCCCCCCCCCCCCCCCCCCCGGAGAACCCCCCCCCCCCTCCACCCCCCCCCCCCCCCCCCAGCTAATCTCCAGGTATATCCACTGCAGGACAGGTGCCAGCTCACTGTGGAAGGAGTTGCCTCATCGGGAGTTCCCTAGGCCCATGAAATCATAAGTCCAGCCAAAAAACTAAGCGCTCATGGGTTGACTTTTCCTTCAGATGCTCAGACATGTTAGTGCTTGAGACAGCATAATAAAAATCACTTAGGTTACCCTCTCATTCTGAAGATGAAGAAACTGAGTCTCAAAGCACCACAGATCATAAGTGACAGAGACCATATTTGACCCCAGGTCCCCTGACCACAAATCCAGCATCCTTCCCACTGAGGGATAAGTGGTTGTGGTGGTAGGGGGGGGACAAATGGGAGAGAACTAGGTGAGACTGAAAATGCAGAATCACCAGGAGGGGGCCGGACATTTCTAGTTAGTCAACATCACATCAAATTGTTCATAGATTCCTGAAGACAAAAAGAGAGTTACTTGAAGTGTCTGAGGCAAGACTCGAACCTATGTCTTCTGACTCTCTAGCCCAGAGACCCTTCCACCATGCCACTGCAGGCTTAACCTTGACTCTGAGCGTTGCTTTTTCTAGCATGCTTCTCAGATGACTGAAAAAAGATAATGCTTCCCATGGTTCTCCAGCGCTGCTGACTTCATGGACAGCTCATGAATTAGCACAGTCCATTTAAAACAGGTCTAATTTAATGCCACGTTGCATTTAATGAGGACTACTGATGACGAGTCCTGCATTATTGAGCTCCCAGCCATTATCAGCTACGTCGAGTGGTCAAATATGACGTGAGCTCTTGGATTCTGCTGAAGGAGCCCACCATCTCTTCCTCTCTCTGGTGATAGACTTGGGTCCAGCTCTATGGCTTGAAAGGCCCTCAATAACTCATATCTCTATAGTGCTTTATAGTAATTCATATATATGTATATATATATATATGTGTGTGTGTGTGTATATATATATATATATATATATATATATATATATGTACTGTGAGCTCTCTGAGGGCTCAATCAGTCAACAAACAAATTTAAGTGCGTCTACTATGTGCCAGGCACTGTGCTGAACACTGGAGACTGTCTTTTGACTCTCTTTGTAATCTCAGTATTTAGTACAGTGCCTGACACATACTGTAGGCAGTTAATAAATGTTTATTGATTGATTGACTTCAGATTTTGCCAACTGATAGATAGGCACATACATACATACATACATATGTGAACTCATTTGTTCCTCATATGTAAATAACCCTTTAAATTAGGTGCTATTATTATCCCCATTTTATGGAGAAAATGGAGGCAGATTGAGGTCAAGTGTCTTGCAGAGGTCACACAGCCGAATCAGGATTTGAACTCAGGTCTTTTTCACTACAAGGCCAGTGCCCTATCAGCTGTGCCACCCAACTGAGTCCAGATCCATAGCTTATTAACCGCTAACATTTCAATAGTACTTTAAGGCTACAAAAGTTTTTTTATTTATGGGTGAGGAAATTGAGGTAGAAAGAGATGAAGGGATTTATCTAGTTAGATTCACACAGCTGCAGAGTCCCCAGGTTGGAATTCAAACTCAGGTCCTCCTAAATAAAATAGAGTGCTCTATCCATTATACCACCCTGCCTCCCGGGTGACCCTGGATAAGTCACTTCACTCTCAGTCAGTCAGCCAGTCAGTTAGCATTTATTAAGCACCTACTACCTGCCAGGCACTGTGCTAAGCTTTGGAAATACAAAGAAAGACCAAAAACAAAAAACAAAAAAAAAACAGTCCCTGCCCTCAAGGAGCTCACAGTCTAACGGGAGGATACCATGCAATGTTCCAACAAGACATAGATGGGATCAGCTGAGAATAGTCTCAGAGGGAAGGCAGTAAGATTAATGGGTGCTGGGAAAGGCTTCTCGCACAAGGCAGGACTCTAGCTGAGACTTGAAGCCAGGGAAGCAGGAGGCAGAGATGAGGCCGGAGAGTGTTCCAGGCATGGGAGACAGGCAGAGGAAATGCCTGGAGTCAAGAGATGGGGTGCAGCCTTCAGGGAATTGTAAGGAGGCCAGCCGGTGTCCCTGGATCACAGAGTCCATGCAGGAGAGGAAGGAGTAAGAAGCCTGGAAAGGTCAGAGGGGGCTGCGTTAGGAGGGGCTTCAAAAGCCAAAGAGAAGATTTTTCTATTTAATCCTATAGGGAATAGGGAGCCACGGCAGTTTATTAAATAGTGGAGTGATCTCATCAGACCTGCATTTTAGGGAGATCAGTTCGAAAGCTGAGTGGAGGGCAGGCTGGAGGGGGGAGAGGCTTGAGGCAGAGAGATCAGCAAGCAGGCGATTGCAATAGTCCATGTACAGGGTGATGAGGGCATATACCGGGGTGGTGCTGATGTCAGAGAAGAGAAGGGGGCATATAGGGGCAAATGTTTGTTGTTGGTCAGTAATTTCAGTCGTCTCCAACTTTGTGGCCCCATTTGGGGTTTTCTTGACAAAGATACTAGAGTAGTTTGCCATTTCCTTCTCCAGCTCATTTTTATAGATAAGAAAACTGAGACAAACAAGGTTAAGTGATTTGCCCAGGGTCACATGCTGGATTTGAACTCATAAAGATGAGTCTTCCTGATTCCAGGCCCAGTGCTCTATCCGCTACACCACCTAGCTGCCCATTAGAGACGTTACAAAGATAGAAATGGCAAGAGTTGACAGTTAATTGGATATGGAGGGACGAGAGTTAGGAATCAAGGGTGACACCTAATTTATGAACTTGGCCACCTGCGAGGATGGTGGTCCCTCTGACGGTCATAACAACGTTAGGAATAGAGGAGGGCTTGGAGAGAAAGATAACGATTTCCGTTTTGGAAAAGTTGAGTTTAAGACGTCTCTGCAATGATAATTGCTCAAGATGTCAAAAAGGCAGCTGTAGACTTTGTTATTTTTTTTTTGGTTTGTTTTTGTGTTTTTTAATTTTTAGGTAATTGGGGTTAAGTGACTTGCCCAAGGTCACACAGGTAGTAAGTGTCAAGTGTTTCGTCAGAGGCCGGATTTGAACTCAGGTCTTCCTGACTTCAGGGCCAGTGCTCTATCCACTGCGCCACTCAGCTGTCCTGGCAGTTGTAGACTTTGGGATAGAGGTCAGAGAGAAGTTAGGGCCAGATAAGCTCTTGGTGTTACCATTGACATGGTAGGAGATGATGAAAATACCAAGTAAAACAGTCTAGAAAGAGAAGAGGAGAAGGGGTAAAATCTCTGGTCCTAAGACTTGAGTCCAACCCTTGTTCTCTCGCTTGCTCCCTGCATGACCTCAGCCATGAGACCTTAGCCAAATCACTGCAATGGTATTATTATCTCCACCCACCCCACCCAGCACAGAGTAGGGGAGAGAGAATTCTTAGCCTCTGAATCAGGAAGATCAGGGTTCAGGTTCAGCCTCTGACTATACTGGCTGTGTGTCCTTGGACAAGTCCTCATTGACCCTCACTTGAGCACAGGCAACTCTCCGATACCAAAAATTGTTCAATAGTTGGCAATCTACATCAGTCAAGGGAGTTTTTCCTCACTTGGAGGTCCCTATACCAAGAAAATCACCCCTGCGGACTCCCGCAATATTATCACATAAATATCTGGCTCAGGGGTCCCATAACTAGAAAATAGTCAAGCTTTGGACTAAGGTGCGTCCTCTTGCTCTAAGCTCTGTACTCATTCCCCCCACATCCTGCTTCCCACTTCCACCTTTCCACGTCCTGCCTTTGGAGAGTTCAGAACTCCGGGCTGAGGTCAGCTTGGGGCTCCAGCACAGCCTTCTGCTCTTTTGCTACAAATGATGGGAAAGTCCAAACTCAGAGAACAAAGTGCCCTCGTCCAAGTTCATGGCCTCTCCCGCGGTCACTTCACTTAAGCTCTTTAAGTTATACACAGAATCGTTCTGAGGACCTTGACCCTCTAAAAAGCCATTCAGGGACAGGCAATGGTGACAGACAAGTAATGGCGGCCTAGTCTTGGGTCGCTCTTTTACTACCAGAGGGGTAATGACACTCTGATTCTGTCTGCCTCTGCATAGAATTCTGAGTGAGAAGACTGCCTAGCCCATCAATGCAGAAGCTGAGGACTTCTTTTAAAGATTTTTAAAGATTCTTATCTCCTGAGATGACCTTTGCCATTCTTCTGCTGTTTAGAAGGATCAGCTTATTTCTTTCCCATGTTTACCTTACCAGAAACACTACGTCATGTGTTCTGTGGTAAGGAAGGAAAAAAATAATCACTTGTTATTTTACCCAAATCAACATTAGGGCAGCATGGTAAAAAGGAATAATGTTTAGCTTAGTGACCTTGGGTAAGTCCTTTGATGTCCCTGGGCCTTCAATTTTCTCATAAGTCAAACATTAATGATATGCATCAATGATTATTTTTGTCAATGTTCTTTGAAAAGCAGAAAATACAAATGCAAGTCATTATTATCAATCCCGATTGTTATGTTTTCTTAATTTGCCATCTGTATAGGCCAAGCCACCCAGTATGAAAGGGCATACTTCTCCCAGATTAAGGAGAAAGAGAAGGCTAAATGAGAGTGGCTTGCTTCTGAACCACAGTTATTTAATTTGGGTGAATTTATCACTATCAACTGGGTCAATGAGAATTATTTTCTAGTTGTCAGGAAGGTGTTCAAAATTGTAGTGATTAGGCATCCATTGATCAACACATATTAAGCACCTACTAGGTGCCAGCCACTGTGCTAAGTGCTGGGAATACAAAAAAAGGCAAAGGCCAGTCCCTGCCTTCAAGGAGCTTACAATCTAATGGAGGAGGCAATATGCAAACAAATACGTACAAAGCAAGCTCCATACAGGAGAAAGAGGAGATAATTAACCGAGGGAAGGTACTGAAATGAAGAGGAGCTGTGTGAGAGAAGCTAGGTTGTTTTCTGCCTTGATTTCCTTCCCAGGAGTCATCAAGTCCTAGGCACATTTGGGTACTTCCATATACTTATTTCCAACCTCCAGATAGGTTATAATTATAATAATAACTCATCTTTATATAGCACTCCTAGGTCTTCACAACTCCTCACTCAAAACAAACCAGTGAAATCGGTCATGTGTGCCTGGCCATTTCATCTTTGTACATGAATTTGATGTCTCAGCTCAGAGACATTGGGTAACTTACCAATGGTCACACAGCTAGGAAGGGCAAAAGCCAAGATTTGAACTTTGGTTCATCTGATTCAAAGTCTAGCCCATTACACCACAAGTTGTTGGAGGCAGCAGGAGAGAGTGCTGATCCTATAGTCCAAAAGATTTGAGTTCAAATCTAGGCTCAGATTCTTGCTAGTTATGCTAGGTGAGTCACGTGACCTGCCTCCGTTTCTTCAATTGTAAATAGGGACCCACCTTTCAGGTTTATTATGAGGATCAAGAGAGATAATATTTTTAAAGCACTTAGCAACAGTGCCTGGCGCATAGTAGGTGCTTAATAAATGCTTACTTGTTTCCTTCCTTTTCTGTTTACATTTCACATCAGTAACCATATCACTTTCCTATTCAATAATAATAAAATTAATGACCAGCACTTATATAGCACTCTAAAATTTGCAAAGTGTTTTGTATATATTATCACATTTGATCCTTATAGCTACCTGGGAAGCAGGTATTTTTAGTATCCCCATTCAAATGAAAAGAACTGAGTTTGAAGTATTAATGAGGAAACCAGAATCCAAAAACATGAAATGACTAAGTCAGAATCACACAGCTAATGAGTGTCTGAGGCAGGATTTGAACCCACGTCCTCCTGACTACAAGTCCTGCCCTTTCTCCAATGCCCCACCCATTTTGTTGAGTCACATGGGAACACAAATACTTACCCTCCCACTCTATAAAGCACCATAGTGATGGGAACAATTATTCTCACCCAAGCGATGGCCAGCTTGAAGGACCCTTGTTAGCAAAAGCAATTATCAGATGGTAGGAGATCTGAGTCCCTGCCTTGACCCCTGAACATGATTGTGATGGACATGCTGAAGAATCTGGTCTCTATTTCTTCAGCCTGCATTGCCACCCATAGTGGGACGAGGCTAGCTGGCACTGCCATCCCACAGGGAGTTCTTCTCCATTTGGCCATAGGAACACGGGCTTCTGAAGCCCTGCATCGATGATTCCTCAGCCAGCTGAAGCCCCAAACTGAGAAGAGGTCAAGCCTAAAAATAGAGTTGAAAGCTCTTGTTTCTCCTTTGACGGGAGGTGCCAGGGGGGATAGGTTTCATGGGAGCTGGGAAGCTTGAGTTCCACAGAGAGTGGGGTGATTTCAAATAGTCCTAAGGTCCCCACCCCTAACCCATTACAGAAAAAGCATTTGTCTGTGCGGTTGGACAGAGCCAGGCATGACTGTGTCCCATCAGTCAGGGGCGCACAAGTGATTCAAAGTATTTGTCATTGCTAAGACTAATTCATTCCGAGGGCACCCGCAAACCATTGGACTGTTTCCCTAATCCACAAACTGCTATCTCAGAGACAATGACGGTATGATGATTCAACTCTGTTCTCAATCATAATTATTGGGACTGTTTCATTTCTCTTATGTGACCTTGGGCTTGATCTCTCAGTAATCCAGGCAAATCTCTAAGACAGAGAAAGTGCCAGTCTTCTTGATTGATTGAATTTCCTCACCTAGCAGTTTCCTGTACTGATGAAATCACTGGACAAGTCCCTATTCCTATTCCTTTATTTCTTCTCCTCCCTCCTGCCCTGCAAACCTTGATTTGGAACCAAACCTAAAAATTTGGACATGCCCCTTGGGGGAGTACCCTCATTTCCCAGCTTTTGTTTATTGGGTAAATTTATTTATTTATTGAGTACCTCTTATGTGCCCAGGCAATAAGAGAAAAGAATATTCCACTTAGTAGGAGCATGAGATTTGGACCCTTGTGAAGTCTTCGGCTTTCTGGTGTAAAGCTCTTCCCTAGGAGTCCATTTTCAAAGAGTGATGGCCAACATGGAGTACAATACATTTAGTGTCTATTTTTTTAAAAAATACTGCATAAAAACATCATGATGAAGGGGAGCCTGGGAATTGTTGGGTAGAAAGCCAACCAGCCAGTGGGCTGGCTCCATGTTGTTCCTTTCTGGCAAGTGTGTAATGAGATGCTTTACATTAACAGAACGGTTACACGCCGCTGCACATCGCGGCCAAAAAGAATCAGATGGACATAGCCACCAGCCTGCTCGAGTATGGCGCAGACGCCAACGCCGTGACCAGGCAAGGGATCTCTTCTGTGCACTTGGCTGCCCAGGAGGGCCTCGTGGACATGGTGTCCTTGCTTCTCTCCAGAAATGCCAACGTGAATCTTAGCAATAAGGTAAATGAGGTGGCTTCTCTGGGCATAGCACAGTTATCACAAAACTTGTTGACTTTGGAGTAGGTGGGGAGAAGGCCAAGTCTGAATCACTAAAGCCTAAATCATGGATTATTTTAAAAGAAATGAGTTATTATGACTTTCAAGAATCTGCTTCCATATCCCAGTGGATCCAAGATAGTGTGTTGCCTAAGACAGACTTCAACTCAGAAGATCTGGGCTCAAATCCTGGTTCCACCATGTGCCCTTGGGCCCAGTCAAATCACCTCAATTGGAACTCAGTTTCCTCAAATGTCAAATGAGAGAGTTTGACTAGATGACCTTGAAGACCTCTTCTAACTCTAAGCCTAGGAATCTGTATTCCTAATATTTGATCATAGGGATTCTCCCTCCAGTGAGGGAGATGGGAACTCAAGAGGCCACCCTTGTCCTACTACAAGTCTTCCCAGGTAACAGAGTGACAAAATTGGATGGAGTGATGAGTCTTGGGGAAGTCTGGGTTACTTTTCTTTATCCAAAGATAAGAGTGATCTGTAATTAGTGCAAAAATCATTTCTGGGCAAATTGGCTTCCCTGAACTACTTGAGCTGGTTGAAAATATTTTCTTCACTTAAGTAGAGCAAAATCCTATATTTTGAAAGTTAGAAGAGACCTGGAGAGTCTTGGTTTATCCCAGAGGTTCTGAACTCAAATAGAAACGGAGGCCACAAATCTCTACACAAGCATCTCTGTGAGCCACATATCGATTTAGTGTTGAAATGTAGTGTAATCAGTGTTTTATTGAATTCTTATTTATTTTGTTAAACATTTCCCGATTACATTTTAATGCGATTCATGCTGCACGTGAGAGTGCTGTGAGCCGCATAAGGTGTTTTGGACACCTCTGATCTCATCTAGTCCTAGCTGAACAAGGATCCACTCTGGGGCACGTGTGAAAAGTGATCATTGAGCGTTGGCTTAACAATGTCTAGTCTTGCCACATTCAAGATGGTCCCACAGGGGCCATTTTCAATCAATCAACATTTATTAAGCACCTTCTATTTGCCAGGCATTGTGCTAAGCACTGGGCACCATAACTTAGCTAATTTTATGCATCCCATGTTCCCCCTGTTAGACTGCATGTGCTAGGAAGGCAGGGAATCTTCTAAGCCTATTTAAGTTCTCCCCCCAATATCTATCCTCCTACAATACAACCCCCCCCAAAAAAAAGTCTAGCCCAAAGTTCTATACCCTAGAGATATTTGACCAATGCTTATTCAATAGAAATAACAAAGGGGCATTTTTCTAAATTTAGCACTTTAAATGCATCTGGAAAGAATTTCCACACACACCCCACCCCAACCTAAATTCCCTAAGTATTTATTTTTGTCTGTTTGCTCATTTACTATAATTAAGCAAACTCAATTCATCAAAAGATATAGAAAGGGCTCCAGGACAAACTGTATGAGCTTGGGCTTTATATTATTAAGGATCTTTGTGGTTAAGATGCTTTGAATTCTTGCCTCACCTGTCCTAATGGATGTGATTTTATTTTTCCATAATAATAATAGCTAGAATTTACATTGCGTTTTAAGGTTGGCAAAGCATTTTACAAATATTTTCCCAGGTTATCCTCACAACAACCTTAGGAGGTAGGTGCTATATAATAATATTTGTCTCATTTTAATTAATATCCCTCATTTTACAAATGAGGGAACTGAGGCAGGCTGAGGTTAAGTGACTTGCCAGGGGTCACATAGCTAGTGTCAAGTGTCTGAGGCCAACCTTAAACTCAAGGTTTCCTAGCTCCAGGTCCAGCAATCTATCCACTATACCACCTAGTATACTATTAATTAATCAATGTATTAATTATTTATTAGGTATAATTAGTTTCAGCCTTTTATTTTATGTGCAAAGGGGAACACATGGCTAGCTCTTTTTATGTAGGCATGATTATGAGATACTTAAGACCTTGATGTTTCTAAGCTTCACATGCAGTTACTGCTGAGTTCCCTCTAAGGCCGGGCTGCCCCATTCACACGTTTCCTAGAGACAGGCTGACACCTAGCTTCCTAAGCTTAAGGTCATTCTAGCTCGAATTCAGACTCTGGCTTTCTTCTAGGCATGAGAATATTGGTCACAAAGGCTCTCCTCTCCTCTGTTTCATCAGTTCTTCTCTGAGACTATGTCCACAAAATGCTTTGAAGGTTAATCAAGAGGGAAATGTGCCAGTCTGATGATGCCCAAGAGCCAGGGTGATTTTTTTTTTTGTTTTTTCCTTTTCTCTGAATTGACTGAAGTTAGCTGGTTCCAGTATAAGCACACATACAACTTCCAGGGCCCAGAAGGCAGTTCATATTGCTTCCATACTTCTGGAAGACATGGAAAATCCCAGGAGAAATCCTCTACTGTTTCAAGAATAATCCCAAGTCTATTTCAGTCATCCCTAGGAAGATTTCCTTATTTCTTTCTTTCTTTTTCTTTTTCTTGTTTTTCTTTTTCTTTTTTTGTTTTTTTGGTGAGGCAACTGGGGGCTAAGTGACTTGCCCAAGGTCACACAGCTAGTGTCAAGTGTCTAAGGTTGAATTTGAACTCGGGTCCTCCTGACTCCAGGGCTAGTGACCACTTAGCTGCCCCAAGATTTCCTTATTTGTAAAGGAAGCATATAGCCTGAGAAAAACAGTGGATAGAGAGCTGGCCTCAGAGTCAGGAAGACCTGTGTTCAAGTACTTCTGCTGACAAACACAATGGCTGTGTAGCCCTGGGCCAGTCACTTAGCATATCAGTGCCCCGGGAAACATGGAGACTCTAAGTCGCAGATCTGATGCCAGTCTACATTGATAAATCGAGCTTCTCACCTGGAGCTTCCTACCCAGTGAAAACACAGCTCAGGTCAAAAAACAAAGGTCAATGTCATAGATTTAGAGATGGAAGGACCTTAAAGGCAAACCAGCCCATACTCCCCCAGAAATCTCAGTCCTGCAGTATACATTTTTCATCTCTTTAAAAAAGAAACTTTGTATGACATGAGTATTGGAAGGTTGTCTACTACCTTGAGATTGTGGGTAGAGAGTTAGATGGTTTGCAGGCTAGTAGCCAAGAAATTCCAGAGTTGCATCACTCAGTCAATCAGCAAGCATTTATTAAGTACCCTATGGGTGCCAACATATAAAGCCCAAGTCCCTGTCTTCATGGAGCTTATAGTCTAATAGGTTCAAGATAAGGGGAATGCTGGACAGAGGGGGAGTGTTTTGACCTGAGACTTCAGATATGGCAGATGATAACATGCTCAGGTTCGAGAGGCCTTGTTTTCCTGGATAGGGTCTGAACCATTGTCTGGGCCCGGCATCCCTTCCAGGTCTCACTACTCTCTCTTTCTATCCTGCACAGTTACAATCTTTTGGTTCGTCTAGTTTGGGGTCAAGAATAGTCCAAACAGGTCATTTCTCTCAGCAGTTTCTGGGTCGACTTGAAATAGCCTTTCTGCGCATTACCACCCTTGGTAACTTTATTATTGTTGACCGTCAGTGTTCTTCAGGTGTGATCTGATTCACCTTGGTACCCAATGAACCGGAGCTCTGTTAATCAGGGGCATTTTCTCCCGAGATGGCTGGCAGCCTGACGTTGCTCACTGCGAAGGATACACTTGCTGTCTTCTCACCATAGACAGGGACCATGAGAAATGCTCAGATCTTTTAGCACACCAAAAAGGAAACTGGATTCCAGACTGATACGGTCACACAGAGCGCAGCTGTTGTAACGGTAGAGCTCTTTGAGAAGCAGAGCCCCAGTGCCTCATTTTACAGCAACCAAGGGCTGGAGAAACAAAGTGACCAGCCCATGGTAACACACAAAGTAAATGTCTGAGGCAGGATTTGAACCCAGGACCTGGGGCTCCAGAGTGAGCACTATTTCTGCCATATCACATCATCTCGGCATCTTGCCCCCAGTGGGCGGTAAGCTTCTTGAGAGCAGGGATTGTTTCTTTGTGCTTGTATTCCCAGAGCCTAACACAGTGCTTGGCACATAGTAGAGGCTTAATAAAAATGTCTTGACTGATTTATACATGAGTCTGTCAGTTCCCTACAAAGTTGCCCCAATTCCTCCTCCCAATTTGCCAGGGGCCTGTTTCTGTGGAAGCTCCACTATCCCTACGCCCCGCTCCCACTATTGGGTTACTCCCAGACTATGAGTCTATCCAGAGTTCGGTTCATTTGCTCTAGGAAAGTCAAAGAAGGAATCTGAGCCAACGGATACTTTCCATAGACTCTAGGCAAAACTTCCATTAAGAACTATCCCAAACTCCCACTCCAACCACCAAAAAAAGTATGTCTCCAACTTAGGGCAGCAGCCCACAGAACTCTGACCAATTTTGTGGCCAAAAATGCAATTTTCTCCCCCGGGAAATCTACCTGGGAAAATTACCCTCTAATTACCCTCCAATTATGTCACTGTTTGGGAAGATCTTTCCCAAACTCTTTTTTTCCTCAGGTCTGTAGAGTCCTCCACCCTAAGGGGGGAGGGACCTTGGGTGGGAGCAACTCACCCAGAAGGCGTGAGGATGCTCTGTGTCCCCAGTCCCTAGCACAGAACTTCATCCGAAAGGGGAGCCACGGAACACCAATGTCCACTGTGGAAATTTAACTGAGTTGACTGCAAAAGCCACAGAGAGACAACTTTCACCAGATGACACATAAGCTCCACACCCCGGGAACTGGATGCCTCCAAAGCTCCTTCTGGCGCTGCATCTATGATTCTTGAGTCTTGGGATCCAGACCCTAATTTCACACACACACAAAATAAATAAATGTTATTGTTGCTGTTACTCTGCTGAAAGGCCTACTCATATCAAGACCCCAAGGGTTTCTCATTTTTTCTAGCACTTAACACAGTGCCTGGCACATTGGAGATGCTTAAAAATGCTTATTGATTGATCAATTGATTGATTGATTACCTGATACAGATCACAAGCCTTCTAGATTTTACTAAAGGGCTGCATCCAAAAGTTGTCACTGCCCTGTGGACAAGCACAGGGATGAGCCTTTTCAGACGTAGGCTGGCCCTTGGGTGATAGACCGGCCTGCTTGAATTCTCTCCATGTCCTAAGATGAGCTTGTGTCCTGATACCTTTAATTTGAGAAGCCAGGATCACATCCATGCAGTGGGGCATCAGAGGAGGATTTTTGTGCAAGGAAAAGGGTTTATTGGATTATTGGGAAAATGAAATTTTGGTGATGTATAAAGTATAATTTCCTTGAGGACAGGAACTTTCTTGATCACATCCTCAGCACTAGGCATACAGTAGCTACTTAATAAATGTTTACAGATTGGTTTTATAAGTCCTGTTTTCTCCTATGTGTTCTTTTTATTAACATTATGTCTGACTATCTTATCAACTCCATGTATTTTTTGTGTACTAAAAGGTGACTGGTTTTGTGTGCTTTCCAGAGTGGCCTGACACCGCTCCACCTGGCTGCACAAGAGGACAGAGTGAATGTGGCCGAGGTCCTTGTGAATCAAGGAGCAGCCATCGATGCCCCAACCAAGGTATGACCTGCCTTTCCTCGGGTGCTGCAGCCCTATGACAAACATCAGTCATCACTCAGCATGGAAAATGTCTATGGAGCACATGCCCTCTCACGCTCCGTATGTGCAAGACATCAGATATTCTCCATGTTAACTTTTTGACCCATCAATTGTCTCTTCTCCAAGGAGACTGAAACAATATAGTTCTACCGTATGACTTTTTAATTAAATAATTTTCCTATAAATAATAGCAATCTCAATAAAAACAATGACTGATTAAATAAGGAATAAAATCACAAAGGAAACCGTAAATATCAAACTATATAAAGTGTTCCGAAAGGAAAAAGACATCTACATACATGGCATTATTAGTAATAACACATGATATATCATTACAGATTATATATTATAAAATACATAATAGCTAACACAATATTTATTTGAAATTTTTATATTATATAAAATTCTCATTTTATATAATAAGATATTTCTATAAAATTCAGCAAAATAATGATCATTACATCTTTTTAGCTCTAGGTCCCCTTTCTAATCTCTTTCCTTCTCTGTACTTAGCAGATCTCATTATTTATTTTACATAGTCCTAGTGGGTATATGTGCTGCTTTTCTCATTCTGCTTTCTTCTCCTTTCATCCTTTTATAGAAATGATTTCCTATTTCTCTGTGGTATTCTTATTTGTCATTTTTTATAGAGTGATAGTATTCCATTATGTCAAAATACCACAATTTATTCAGGCATTTGCTGGTTATGGGACACCAAGGATGATTACAACTTATCAGTATAGTAAATAAATCCTCTGTGAATCACAGAATTACTTGGTTGGAAGGAACTTGAGAGCCCATCAAGGTCAACTCATAACTGAACAAGACCCCCGTGACAATATATTATTGTACACAGAAATGTCTTTACTAGATGCTTTGTGGTGGGATCACTGGAAAAAGCGGTCTGATGAGTTTTGTAGCCCTTGTGGCATGTCACCAATGTGAAACATTCTTTTGAAATCCTATTTTTTTTTCATGATGTGGTTGTCTTGGTATAGATCCCTAGCACATAATAATAATAATAGCTAACATTTATATAGCACCTAGGCAGCTAGGGGGGTGCCATGGTGCATAGAGCACTGGGCTGGATGTCCTGAGTTCAAATCCAGCCTCAGACATTTACTACCTATGTGACCCTAGGCAAGTCACTTCACCCTGTTTGCCTCAGTTTTCTCATCAGTAAAATGAGTTAGAGAAGGAAATGGCAATCACTCCAGTATCTCTGCCAAGAGAACCCCAGATGGGGTCAGGAAGAATTGGACATGACTGAAAAACAACTGAACAACAAAAATGTAGCACCTACTATGTGCAACCACTGTGCTGAGTGCTTTATAGTTATCTCTTTTGATCCTCACAACAACCCTAGGAGGTTGTTACTGTCATTATCCCCTTTTTGCAGATGAACAACAAAAGAAATGCCTCATTCCTATAGGCCAGTCACTGAAGGGCAGAGAGCAAAGGATCAAAGTCTTCGTGACATTTTTTAAGACCATTTAAAGATAGACAAATGAAAAAATGTGAATCTGTTTTTATAAATACAGATAGAACCACTCAGAAAGACTTCACAACTTTATTTTCTACTTGAATCTCTCAGTGTTTGTGATACTGATGTAGAGATAATAGATAGTTCATTGGATTGGAGTCAGGAAGACCTAGGTTCAAATCCTACCTTAAACACTAGCTATGTAACCCAAAACAAGTCAAGTTAACTCTCTGAGGCTTCATGTCCTTATCTGTAAAATGGGTATAATAAGATAAGGCCTTTAGCACTTGCCTCAGAAGACTGTGGTGGATGAAAAGATTTAAGGTGAATCACTATAGAAATCATTATATATGTAATTATTTATCACATATTACATGTATTACGTATTCAGATTTCTTTTTTTTTTCAAGCTTCATAGAAGGTCTTTGACTTTGTTAGTTACCTATGATGAGATCTTTGGTTCCATTTCTAATGACCAAATCTGCCACTTCCCAGGAAACAAACCATCAAATGGATTTCACATCCAGTGCCAGGATTTCAAACTTCATCGAGAAAGAGGCAGGCCAGAATCCCATAATTCCTCTGGGGCCCCACCAAAGATGGGGCTATGCTGCAGGAAGCCGTCCTTTTTAGAACACCTTCCCTGCCTGAATTTTTATCTAAAAAGGAAAGAATTCTTAACTTTTTCCCTCCTTGAGTACTTGGTATAATTTCTGTCAGTACTTGTTTTCTGACAACCTTTTCTTGCAACATATCTGTTTAATAACAATAATAATAATAATAATAACTAACATTTAAGTAGCACCTACTACATGCTACTGTACCAAGTGCTTAGCAAATATTATCTCATTTGATACTTACAATAACCCTGGGAGGTAGGTGGTATCATTATTCCCATTTTACAGATGAGGAAACAGAGGCAAACAGAGGTTAAGTGACTTGCCCAGGATCTCACAGCCAGTAAGTATCTGATCTGGGATTTGAACTCGTGTCTTCCTGACTCCAGGCCCAGCATTCTATCTACTACACCTTCTACACCTTACTTGCCAGTAAGGGACAAATAAGGCCTAATTACTGCTTAACATCTTTTAGAACATAATGGCATCAGAAGAACAGGCCACCATCTTCCTGTGATTTAATACTGTACGTAGCAAGGGTTTTGTAGGCCTTTAATAAACATAATGGTGAGTAAAGTGAACTTGAATCATATTTATTGTAGACATATTCTAATCTGAGAGGCAGCCTGGCAGAGTGGGTAGACCAGCAGTCCCAGAGGCAGGAAGCCTTGGTTACAAATCTTACCACTATCTCTCAGTGTTCCATGTGAATCTAACACTGTAAGTTACAGATGGATTTCCTGATATGTACTGGTGGAAGGAATTTTAGTAGTGGGAGTGCCCTGAACTGACCAAGGTCCAGACCAAAGAGAAGTGTTCTGGCATGTTGAGTTCAAATCCTAGTGGAGTGTTAGCTTTATCAAAATGGAGTTGAGTATAGTCACTGTTTTTCCTCACATACTCTCTGATAGCATACTATTAAGACTGTCAGATTGGTAAAGTCAGTGTGAACAGGTCTAGAGGTATTGGCAGATCGTGGGGCAGATTGGGAAAACCTCTGTGTCATAAGGGAGACTTAGTGAGAGGTAGTAGAAAAATCAGCACCAATTCCCCTCACTCCTAGAGAAAAGGGCTCAAACGAGGTACCTTGATGATAATAGGGGCAGAATCCCAGAATTGAAAAGGCAGAAGGGACGTCAGGGCTTCCTAGTCTGACCCAGGTCCAAGCGGAATCCCCAGGACAGCATGCCCGGCCAATGGTCATTCGATCTCTGCTGGAAACCCCCCAGGGGCAGCCCATTTCATCTTGAGTAGCTCCAATTGTTAGAAAGTTGTGTTTTTTCTCTATCATCCAGACTAAATTGGGGTCATTGCTTCTGATTCTATCCTCTGGAGTCGAGAAAAACATCCCTACTCCATATGGAACCACAGAAATTAAGTTAGAATTGACCTCCGTAACCTTCTCGTCCATACCCGAAGGGAATCCCCATGACAACATCCCCAACAAGGGATCGTCCAGTCTCTCCTTGAAGACCTCCAGAGAAAACCCAAAACAGTCCTGATTGGCTTTCAATAATAAACTTTATTTAAATAACTTAAAACTTAAACCATCTAAAAGTTTTTCTGATACCAGCCCTAAATCTGCCTTTTTCTAGCCTTCTCCCTTTGCTCCTGGTTCTGCCTTTTAGAGCCAAGAGGAACAAACCTAATCCCTTTTCCACAAGGAATCACAGGATTTGGGGGTTGGAAAGGACCTTGGGGGCATTTAGTCCCACTTTTATCCTAAAGGAATCCTTCTGTCATATACCTGACAAGTGACCATCCATCTTCTGCTGGAAGACCTCTGAAGATAAGGAGGAGGATCTTCTTTTGGAAAAGATAGTACATCACTTTAAATTCTTCACCTGATGATTGCCCTCTCTTTTTCTGCTGGTCTACCCACTCTGCCAGGCTGCCTCTCAGATCAGAATATGTCTACAATAAATATGATTCAAGTTCACTTTACTCACAATTATGTTTATTAAAGGCCTACAAAACCCTTGTTACATGTAGTATTAAATCACAGGAAGATGGTGGCCTGTTCTTCTGATGCCATTATATTCTAAAAGATGTTCTGAAATGCTGAGGGTCCAGGCTGCCCTAGCACTTAGAGTCATGAAAAAAAAGCTTAAGCAAAGCACCCCAGGAGCCATCAGAATATATCCAAAACCATTTGGCATAGGGAAATTGTTATGTTGCTGCTCTCTCTTTTGAGACCCATTTGGATATCCGAGGCTAAGCTATGAGCCAAGACAATCAACACTTTGGAGACACAAAGACCCATTTGTCCGTGTTGACGCCCCTTGTGTCATTACTTCTTTTTTTTGTGTCTACAGCCCGTCTTCCCGATTGACCTAAGAGAGAGCATTGTCCCCTAGAGAGCAGGCATAACACTGCAGCCTTTTACTAAGCACTTACTGTGTGCTAAGTGAGATACATCTATCCAGGAGATAGAAAGTGAGATAGCACACAGTCCCTGACCAGATGGAGGCTAGGACAATACAGAAAAGCAGGGTGGTTTTGGAGTGGATGGGGCACTGGACTGGGAGGCCAGAAGCCTTCCCCAACCCCTCTTCATTCCAGCGCTTTCCCTCTTTTAATCACTTCCTATTCATCCTGTAGAGAGCTTGCTTTGTATATTTTTGTTCGCATATTTTCTCCCTCATTAGATTGTAAGTTCCTTGAGGGCAGAGATTGCATTTTGCTTCTTTTTGTATCCCCAACCCTTAGCACAGTGCCTGGCACATAGCAAGTACTTAACAAATATTGATCAATTGTTGTCTGACTCTGGGCAAGTCACTTAAATACTCTGTGCCTCAGTTTCCTCATCTGTCAAATGAGGGGTTTGAACTCGATGAACTCTAACATCTTTCCAGCCATAAATCTGTGACATGATGACTTTTATAGCAAAAACCTTTGTAACTTTTCCCAGCTCCTTACTCCTGTATCGAGCGTACAGTAGGTGCTCATTAAATGTGTGTTAATTAATGATGAGTCAACATCAAGAGATGTTACTACAGTCTTCTCCTCGACATCCCAGGTCACAGACAGAATATTTGCCTTTGAAAAGCATCGGCTTTGGAACCAACCTTTTACTCTCAGATTCCTTCTTGGGGGAAGTTACTGTCACGTAAAATGAGATGAGTCTGTAATTATCCCTTAATTATAATATTTGTACACAGAAAGAAAGGGAGAGGGGTGAGAGGTTTCCCCATGGCTAAGCTGGGGCATTTAACTTTCTAAATAAAGACGCTGAAACCACCTCTGGCTGAAGAAACTCAGAACAGGAAGCTGGGATGGAATCATTTTCTTTTCTTGGGACGGAGGTGGAACTTGTGATTTGGCTCTTGTGGGAAATTCCCATTGTAGAAACTCCTTTGCACTTTGGCAACCGTTTGGTTACTTCTGGGCTTATAAAGTCATTTTTTTGTTGCTCAGTCATTTCAGTCGTGTCCATCTCTTTGTGACCTTATTTGGGGTTTTGTTGGCAGAGATGCTGGAATGGTTCGCCATTTCCTTCTCCCGCTCATTTTACAGATGAGGAAACTGAGGCAAGCAGGCTGAAATGACTTGCCCAGGGTCACATAGCTAGTAAACGTCTGAGGCCGAATTTGACCTCAGGTCTTCCTGACTCCAGGCTTAGCGTTCTGCCCATTGTGCCGCCTAGCTGCCCTCTAGGACATTAGGAGGATAAGTGGCTTGCCCAGAATCAAAGAGCCATATGTCTCAGAGGTCACACTTGAACTCAAGGCTTCCTGGTTCTGAGACCATGATGCTATGTGACCTCTCATAATGATAATACTATGAGCACAGTGGATAGAGCACCAACCCTGAAGTCAGGAGGACCTGAGTTCAAATCCAGCCTCAGACCAAACACTTGACACTTGCTTGCTGTGTGACCCTGGGCAAGTCACTTAACCCCAATTGCCTAAAAATTTAAAAAAAGTTAAAAAATAAAAATAATACTATGAGCAATGTTGCACATAGTAACACATATCATTTTGAGGTTCATACTGTGCCTTCCTCGTCATGATCCTAGGAACTCAGCATTACAAGTATTGTGTCTGCTGGGCAGAGACTTGTCCGAGGTCACGCTTCTAGTAACTGTCAAAGGTGGAATTCCAACCAAGACCTCTCCCAATTCCAACTCAATCCAGGGCTCTTTCTAACACACACAGTCCTACTGTTGTTGACTTACAAAAGTAATTTGGTCATTTATTTGAGTTCTTGGGAGGCAATGGGAGGATATTGGTAGTGACTGCCTTTCAAAGGGGTCAGATTGGCTTGTGTATATTTCAGTCTTCCCTCTTTACTCCTAGCCCTTGGCTGGACCAACATTACCCTACATTGGGTTGTTCTCAGGAAAGCCAGTAAATAGACAGAGATCACAGAACTGGAGCTGAAAGGAATCAGGGGCCATATAGTTTTCAACCCCATCATTTGACAGATAAGGAAACTGAGTACTGGAGAGGTTGAATAATTTGCCCAAGGATAAATCTGAACCCAAGTCCACTGATTGAGGGTCAGAGCCTCTCCTTTCCTTTCCATTTAATTGTTCTGCCCCTAGAGTGGAAGAGACCATCCAATCTAACTCCATTTTACAGAGAAAGAAACTGAGGCCTGGAAGACTCAGTAACTTGACCAAGGTTACACAGATAGTGAGTGTCAGAGATGGGATATGAACCCAGGCCCTGTTTTATAAGAACAACATTGAAACTGATTGTTTTTGTTTAAAAAGAAATAAAAAGGAAAGGCCTAAAAAGTCTTCTAACCTTTTTTTTTTAATGAATGAAGCTCCCCTTTTACATCAAAAAAGTTTCCCAATTCCCACATTATATTATTGTGTGATGGTATTACTGGGAGTAGTTGAGATAACACTTAATGCCAGCTCGCTGCTGTGAATTCAGTGCCACTCTTAATGAATTGGCATTTTGTCAACCACAAGGGAATCTGCCTCCTTTTGAAAACGTGTAATATGGCTTTTGTGAGACGTCATACACACTCAGGCTCCCAGATGGATGCGGGTTATCATGAAGGTCAGATCCTTGTGGTCCTTCTGTGTCTGGGGTCATGCTCACATACACGCATGTGTTCATGTCTGAGTATGTCCATATACTCAAGAGAACAGAAGGCACCAAAAATTATTTAAGAGTTATTATATTTTGATTTAGAAATTATCTAAATTATTAAATTATTTACTTTTGGAATATCTGTTTCTTATCCTGTCACAGGTCCAGAACATACATTACATGAAAATTATTCCCAAGACTCCTTTGCATCTTCCATTTCATCTTACTCCATTCCATTTCATTTATGTAGAATGTGCCATAATAGAAAACGTGCCTGAAAAAATCAGTTTCACAACATTTGAATTAGAAAAGGGGATTTCCTCCATCTTGAAGGCCTTCTTAATCCTTTAGCTTTCCCCAAAAGAGAAGAGAGTCTGTGCAAAGTTCCAGAGAGATTATTGACTGCAAATGACCCAAATGTTGGTTTTGCAGTCCTTGTTGCATCCAGGGGTCTGTGAGGACCACTACCCAGTGATAAACCCTAATTGCGCTCATCAAACGAGTGTATGGAACTAAGGAGGTGATGAATGGTCCCACAGCTTCTGGAGGATTGTATTCAGTTCTCGGTGCCGTATTTTTAGGGAGGATATTGATCAACTGGAGAGTGTCCAGAGGACAACCAAGGTGGTGAAGCCCTTGGATTCCTGCCTTGGCTGAAGCAACTGGAGGTGTTTGGGCTGGAGGAGTCTTGTGAGCTGTCTTCAAGTATTTGAAAGGCTCTCTTGTGGAAGGGAGCAGACTTGTTCTTCTTGTTCCCAGAGAGCAGAAGGAAGGGTGGGTGTTAGCAAAGAGAAAGATTGAGGCTTGGTATAAGGGAAAACTTGCTAACAATTAGTGCTACTCAGGTATAGAAGAGGCTCCCCCAGCACTTAATGAATGTTTTTGATGGATTGATTGCTTAGTGGGTTGCCTTCATTGGTGACCTGAAGGCAGATGTTTGCCAGATACATTGCAAAGGGGATTAGGTACAGACTGATCTATATGGCCTATTGCTTCCTCTACAAAAAAGGACAAAAGTGAAGATGGGATTTAGCTTCTGGGGACTGTTATCTGGTGCAGTCTCTGTATAACTTTGCACCGAGCAGGAGACACGGGGGTGGCAAGGGTGGGTTTTCCCAGTATTTGGATTTGAGGGAGCAGAGCGGAATTAGACCAGTGGTCATTGCTTCGGTTGGGGGTGGGGGGAGGTAAAAGGGGTTAGAGCAATGGGATCCTCAGATGTAAAGCCTCGGACATCAGAGTTCTGGAAGGGACATAAGAGACCATCTTGTCCAACACTGGTGTTTTACAAATGAGGAAACTGAGGTGAAGGTCACACAAATAGTAAGTAGCAGAACCAGGATACGCACCCGATTCCAGTTACTCTGAGGCTCCCAGAATCCCTAAGGTTTTACCCTCCCTCTCCACTTAGCTACATCCTTCCAAGTTTGAAAGATCTAGCTTATAGCCCACTTTTTCTACAAGGCCTAGAGGCAGAGTTCAACCCAGCCTCATATACGACCTGGGTGACCTTGGGCAAATCAGTTAACTCCCTGAGCCTCAGTTTCCTTATTTGTAAAAGGAGAGCAGCTAGATGGCACAGAGGATAGAGCACCAGGCCTGGGGTCAGAAAGACTCATCTTGAGTTCAAATCTGGGCTCCGACACTTACCAACTGTGTGACCCTGGGCAAGTCCCTTAACCCTGTGTGCCTCAGTTTCCTCATCTGTAAAACGAGCTGGAGAAGGAAATGGCAAACCACTCCAGTATCTTTGCCAAGAAAACCCCAAATGGGGTCATGGCAGGTCAGACACACAACTGAAAAACAAAGCAACAAAAAGGAGGAGGTTGGATGAAGTGACTGGTTCTACTTGTGAATGAATGAATGAATGAATGAATGAATGAATGAATGAATGAATGAATAAGCCAGGGCTGAGAAATAAGGGTAAGATCTCAGCTCTGACCCTGGCCAATCTTAAGATCCTAGGAAAGCCACATGACCTCTCTGTTACTCAACTCCCTCAATGGTAAAAAGGAAGACAATCCCATGTGCCCCACGTGCTTCCCAACACTGTTGTCCAGATAGATGAATGCAGGGGCAGCCCCTTGGATGGAGTCCCGCTGGATAGATGTCAGGTGTTCTCCCTCCCAGCCCCCAAATCCAAAATGAGGTTTTTAGAAGGCCAGTTTTTAAAAGCCTGAGAAAGTAGCCTCTCAGCCCATTCCCACAGTGTATACCATTTGCTGCTCTGTGTGGTCACTGATTGCCGTGTATGTTTTACCGTCACAGATGGGCTACACGCCACTACACGTGGGCTGCCACTACGGGAACATCAAGATTGTTAACTTCCTGCTCCAGCACTTCGCGAAGGTCAACGCCAAAACGAAGGTGAGTGAGGACCATCCCCTGCCTCCATGCTAGTGACTGACCTCACAGCAGGACAAGCAGTAACCTGTGTTCCTTCTTTTATCCCTTCTGCAGAATGGGTACACACCCCTCCACCAGGCAGCCCAGCAGGGCCACACCCACATCATCAACATCTTACTGCAGAACAATGCCTCCCCCAACGAGCTCACTGTGGTGAGTGAAGCTAGAAGGGAGCCATGGTCAGGCAAGGGGGCAGGAGGTGGGCTTGGGCATCTTTCTCACACGTGGCTTTGGTGCCTCTCACGAACAGAAATGGAGGAAGCCCTTGATCCAGTGGGATGAGTCAAAGAATGCAGTCTCATATTTACACACACACACACACACACACACACACACAGAAATGAGCTCCCTGAACTCTAAAAGCACCTGATTGAATGGTCAGCCAGGGGGACGTGAGTGTCTGTGTGAGGGGAGAGAACATGTGTCCTTGTTTCATGTTGAAGGCTCACGTAGACTGTCAAGTCTGTGAGGCTCCTGATACAGCTGTCCAAGCCTGTTTTAAGCTCTGCTGTAGACTGCTGTGACAAATACCACGGAAAGGGGAGAGGAGGGATTGGGTAGGGAGGGAACTAGAAGAACAAGATGGATTTTCACCCATTGGTCCCACTGATTTCAAGTTCATACTGGGTGCCCCTTTAGCAGGTACGGAGCCTGTCTGAAGCAAGTATTTGAAAAGATGGCAATATGCAAAACTATAATATGTAAATCTATAATAGGCTGCCCCAATGAAGGCACAATCCTAAAATGCTGCTCAAATATTCCTTCAGGAAAAATTCTACCTTTGTGGTATAGCACCATTGGAAAAACTCTGCCTTGAGGGTAGCTAAAAAACATGAGGATCATTACCTATATGTTTTTTGTAACAATGACAATACTAATTCTGCCTCATGGGATATATGGTGCAGTCGTCATGATCACACCATCCATAAGCATGTGTCAAATGCCCACTATGTGTCCATCGCTGTGCTAAGCACAGATACAAAGAAAGACAAAAGACGGTCCCTGATCTCAAGGGGTGTCTAATGGGGGAGAAAAATGGTCTTTGGGTTCAGAAGACCTGGCTTTGAATCCCAGTTCTAGCTGACATTCACTAGCTGTGTGACCCTGGATAAGTTTCTGAATTTCAATTTCTTTATCTGTAAAATGATGGCAGTGCTTGCATCATTGAGGTAGCTCAATGGTGCAGTGGATAGACTGCTAGACCTGGAGTAAGGGAGATGAGTTCAAATCTCATCTCAGACATTTTCTAGCTCTGTAGCACTAAAGAAGACACATCTCTTTCAACCCGTTTATCTGTAAAATGGAAATAATAACAGCCCCTACCTCCCTGGGTTGTTGTTAGCATAAAATAAATAATCCTTGAAAAGCCTTTTACAAAGCTTAAAGCACTATGTAAATGCTAGCTATCATTATTATTAATGCATTATCTGCCTCACAGAGTCAAGAAGAAACTTCTTTATAAAGCTTAAAGTGCAATGGAAATGGGATTTATTCCACATTTATAATAATAATTTAATGACATGATGCAATAATTATAAGGAACATTTTGACTAATTTTTAAAGATGAGATATGTGATTTCATGGTAGATGGAAATCCTGGATATGGAAACTCCCTCCACCATTTAGAGTTGGCAACTTCTCTTCAACTTTGAGAGTCACCCGAGGGCACTGGAAAGTTAAGTGTCTTGCCAGAATGTGGCCGACAAGACTCGAATCCACGCCTTCCTGACTCCAAGACTACTATCTACTCTGCCCTGCCGCCACCCTATTATGAGTAATAATAATGTAATTGATAGTTTATAGCCATTAGTAAAACACAGAGTACATGCCTTCCAACAACCCTATGAGAATAGTAGCGTAATTCTATTCTCATCATCTCCTTCTACAGATAAGGAATCTAAAGTCCAACAGTAACCACAGTCACTGCGCCAACCTGGAACTTGAAGCCAGGTCTTCTGACTTTAAGCCAAGATCTTTTCTTACAACATCTGCTGCCTGACTTATGTAGCTAAACTTGCTTTGGTGAAATTAAGTTGGGCTTCTTCTCTAACACCTTCCTGATGTTTTTCCCTTGCTAGAATGGAAACACGGCGCTAGCCATCGCTAAGAGGCTTGGCTACATCTCCGTGGTCGACACCTTAAAGGTAGTGACGGAAGAGACCACGACAACAATTGTAAGTATACTCCTGTTTTCCTAATGGTATTTTCAGAACTCATTGACTGATGTTTCATCTTCCAAACACCTGATGAAATAGACTTTTGAGTTGTCATCCAAATTCTTTGTTGTTCAGTCATTTTCAGTTGCGCCTGACATTTCGTGACCCCATTTAGGGTTTTCTTGGCCAAGATACTGGAGTGGTTTGGCATTTCCTTCTCCAGCTTATTTTACAGATGGGGAAATTGAGGCAAACAGACTTACATGATCTTCCCAGGGTCCCACAGCTGGTGTCTGAGACCAGATTTGATCTCAGGAAGATGAGTCTTCCTGACTCCACCCCCGGTGCTCTATCCACTGAGCCACCTAGCTGCCCCATCCAAATTCTAGAAAGTTGACATTGGAGAGCTGATGCAACACTCACAAAATCTCAGAAACTCAGGGTTAGCAGGCACCTAAAAGATCCCCTACTCCCACTAACTCAAAAAACATTTATCAGGCACCTACTATATACCAGGCACTGACTATACTAAGCACTAGGTCCCTCCTACAATCTACACACCAAGTGGTCATTCCATCTTGACTTTGAGATGGAGAACTCACTACTTCCTTGTTAGGAGGATCATAGATTTCAAGCCAGAAAGGCTTCTAGTAAAACCCCCTTACTATACAGATCAGGAAACTGAGGCCCAGGGAGATGAAGGGACTTGACCGATAGATTCAGAGCTGGGAAGGACCCTCAGAAGCAAAATGTGAACCCGCCTTCTCTAAGTCTAGAGCCAGGGCTCTTTGCACTGAGCCATACTGTCTCCCCTACATCCTGGCTACTTTGGATTGTTTAGAAATTTTGTTTGGGTGCACTTCCCCTTACATCAGATCTAAGTTGCCTCATGGCACCTCTCCCCACTGCTCCTCGATTTGCCCTTTGGGACTGAAGGAAGAAAACTGATGCCTTCCAGGAGACAGCCAGCCCATTAACTCCCAAGATCCATCAGAGCTCTATTCAAATCCAGCAAACACTGATTAAGCACCTCCTGGGAGCAGAGCTATGTACTGGGCAGCCACAGGGCCATGCGATGGCTCACGTACTCATGATAAGCATTGGCATGAATATCCCGACGCAAAGTTTGCAAGGCCTAGGGCTTAGACCGTCCCATTGAATCGAGGACTGTCCCTACACTTAATGGGGAGAGATGAGATACTGACACAGATTGCTAAGAGACTAATTACAGGCTGATTTTCATTATTATTCTTTAAATTACCTAGAATCCAGTTCAAAATACATTTAAGCATATAAATGTATATACATATAGGTTATTGGGCAGCTAGATGGCACAGTGAATAGAGTGCTGGACCTGGAATCAGGAAGATCTGAGTTCAAATCCCAACTCAGACACTTACTAGCTACCTGACCCTGGGCAAGTCCCTCAACCCTGTGTGCCTCAGTTTCCTCATCTGTAAAATGAGCTGGAGAAGGAAATGGCAAACTACTCCAGTATCTCTGCCAAGAAAACCCCAAATGGGGCCTCAAAGAGTCGGACACAACAGAACAAGGACTAAACAACTATATACATGTGTGTGTATATATATATATATGTATATATATACATATGTAGGTTATACTTATTGGATACATGCCTCCATGCATACATACACCTCTCCATACACATTTCTGACTTTATAGTGCTATGCAGAATGGTACAGGGAATAGAGAGCTAGCCTCAGAGTCAGGGAGACCTCGGTTCAACTCCTGCCTCTGACATAGACCGACTCTGTGACCCCGAGAGTCTCTTAGCATAGCAGCCAGTTCTCTGCCGTTCTCAGTTGCAGAGCAGACGCAACCTGGCATTGGTAGAGGACATTACCCATCCTTCCCTCATCCTATCACCTTCCCTCTGCCCCAAAACACACGCCCATTCAGGGGTATTCTGGTGGATGTTTAACAACAAACTGTCCCCCCCCCAAGAAAAGTTTTCCAACACACTTTTAGTTTAATCTACATTTTCTCCATCACTTTCTTAAGTCTAGACAATCAGGAAGGCAATGACTTAAGCCCTTATTTGTAATGTTTGCCATTTTCATGGGTGTAAATGCTCACATTTGAAATTTGACAATCGACTCTGTGAGATGGGACAGCCATCTCCAGCACACCAGCGCAAATGTCATTGGCTCCCTATTACTTCCAGTACCAAATATAAAACCCTCTATTTGGCTTTTAAAGCCCTCTCATGACCTGCCCCCAGAGATCCTACACTTTCCTTCCCCCCACGACCTAGAGACACTAAACTTGCTCACCCAGGCCCCTCCTCCCAACTCTGTTCCTTGCACTGTGCCCTCCCATCCATCCTCCCTCTGACTGCTGACTTCCCTGGGGCCCTGAAAAACCCACCTTCCACAGAAGCCTTTGCCTGTTCAGCTGCCATACCATGCATTCTATTAATCTTGTGTGTATACTTACTTCCGTGTTGTCTCTGCCATTAAAACATGAGTTCCTTTGAGGAAGGGACCATGGGGTTTTGGCGTGTTGTTTTTTTTCCTTAGCATCCCCAGCAGAGATAAATAGTAAAAGCTTAATAAGTGGTGGCTGCCTGAGTTCCTTACCAGTAGTTCGCTAAAGTCACAGGTTTGGTTACAAAACTAAAAACCTTTAAAACAAAAAAAAAGAACCCAAAATCTGCATAGATACTAATTATATCTACTTCCTTCATACTTCCCTCCTATTCCCAAAGGAGGAATGAAGGAGGCAATTGGTGGTGCCATAGTCCACAGAGTGCTGGGCCTGGAGTCAAGAAGGCCTGGGTTCAAATCCAGCCTTAGACATAAACTCTGTGACCCTGGGCAAGTCACTTAACCCTGTTTGCCTCAATTTCCTCAACTGTAAAATGGAGATAATAATAGCACCTCCCTCTCAGGGTTGTTGTGAAGATCAAAAGAGATAATATTAAAAAAATCTCTTAGCACAGGACTGGCAGTTAGTAGGAATACTTATTCCTTTCCCTCCCCCTTATTCCCATCGATCTCCTGGCGTGCACCTAGTGAAAGAAGTGAGTTGGGGAGGTTTGTCACATTGGGCCAGCTGAGTATCTAAGCTAGATTTCTCTTGAACTTTTATTAACTGGACAGCAAGCTTGCTGGTGGCAAGAGGATGGTCTTGTGATTGACAGATCAATAAATATTTTGCTTTGTAGAGACAAGGCTTATAAAGCTCACAGAGTATATAATAGAGCTGTTGGCCTTTTGTGAAAATGTAATAAGAAAGAGAGAAAGAAGAGGAGAGAAGAAAGAGGAGGAGGAGGAGGGAGAGACAGAGACAGAGACAGAGAGACAGAGACAGAAAGAGAAGAGAAAAAGAGAGAGAAAAACATGCATGCACGCGCACACGCACACACACACACACACACACACGCACACACCTGTTGTTGTATGGGTTTCATTTTTTAAAGGTCCTCTCCTCTGTCCAAATGTTTCTGCAATGTTATCGCTAGAAGTTTTATAAGGGAATGAGCCAAGGCTCACAGCCAAACATCCCAGTGTATCTGTCCGTGTCATCACCACTCAGTAACCATCTCCCCTTGCCAAAAGAGTGCCCTGGAAAAAAGGACATGGTCAAAGGTCTAAAGCCTCCAAATTCCACCCTGGCTTTCTGGCAAGCCTGACTCCAGTGCTGAGTCATCAAATACCAAAGGGTAACTATTGTCTCTTGGACAGGTGGCCCAGGCTGGTGACACGTGAGTGCCCTGGGCTGCTCACAATGACTCAGTTACTCAATGTAATAGGTATATATGGTCTGCTAAGAGGACAGTGGGCTAAAGGGGTAAGGGTTGGGTCAAAGACACATTTATGATCTATAAACTTATAATGGTAGTGGCTAACAATTTTATAACATCTGAGGACTTGCAAAACGCTTTACAGATCTTAACATTTGGTCTTCACAACAGCCCTAGGAAGAAGGTTCCATTGTTCTTCCCATTTTACAGATAAGAACACTGCGGCAAAGTGAATTGCCCAGGGTCTAAGAGTGTAAGAGTCTAAGGTGGGAAGTAAACTTAGGTCTTTCTGGCTCCCAGTTGAAAGTTCTAGCCAATGTGCCATAATAAAGAATGAATAGCATAAGCAAATGCTCCTGATCACCTTTACTTAATTAAGGTTTTAGCAAATTACCCAAGGTTTAACAGTTAGTGTCAGAGGAAGGATTTAAATCTGGGTTTTCTGACTCAGTGCTTCTTCTACTGACCAGTAATGGATGCAATGTGTTTTATAAAATGTAAAGCATCATTATAAATATCAGTAATTATCCATGAATTCTCAACCCCTCCCATACCCAGATCTGTGACATCCTAGGATATCTTCCTCTCCCTCAAGGGGAGACATAAAATTCTCAGGTTAATTTGAAATCGTTTCCATCTGAAAGGGGAAGTTATGCCGTGTAGCACTTTCACTAGGGCTAGAGAAAGATAGATGGAATTTAAATAACAAAAAAAAATTGTTAACTCTCCAAAAATGATGGAGAGCTGAAGTACGTTGATCTGCACCTTGGATGGCTCCTATTTAAATGTGGCAGAGAAAAGAATCATCAAAGAAATAGAGTCAGATCCCAAGAACATTATTCTTCCTATAAAAGACTAGGATGTCTTTCAATTTCTACCTGATGACTTTTCCTAAGACTCCTCACCTCTCACAAAATTCCCCAATGTTTCTTTGATATCTGGGAGGCAAGTGTAGAAGCCGGTGCCACAGGGAGGGGCTGCAGATTTGCTGCAAGAACCACAGGGGATGAAGAAAGGTCTGCCTGACTCAGGCCGCCTGATGAAAAGTAGTACAGCGAACACAGTAGCTGGACCACTTCACTCTCAGGCATCAAGAGAATTTATGGATTTTTCCTTTTGGACCAATCTGGTGAACTGATGACATTCCTAGGAGCTGGGATTTGACGTTTGTATACAACGTAAAGGGTGTCATTGCCCAGGATGCCTTTTGCTTTTTAGTTTCAAGCAGGGGATCTTAACAAGCAAGGACCCA